TCTCAACTTTGTACCCACTATAAAATTCCTCCTTCCTCAACCCTAATAACACACCGAGAGATTTTGAGAGTTCTTTGTAGACAAGAAAGAGAGAAATCGAGAGGCTCAAGTCGTCTTTGGAAGCAAGGAGGAAGCCAGGGAGATTTGGGAAAATCGCTTGGTTAATTCTTGTACTCTTCTGATGATTTGTAATCCTTTATTCATATTTGCTATGTATAATTTAGCCATGCTCGGCTAAATTCCTTAGGGATTTTTGGGTGAATTTGTTTATGAACCTATGTGCCTAGTTCGTTAATTTCTTAATATATTTATGTTTGGTTTTATGATTTGTGTTGCAATCTTGTTTTAATCTGTTGTTGTTGGTGGTTAAAGGCCTAAATTACTAGCTTCACAGCCATGTTTGTGTCACCAATGGGAATTGGGGCATAAATTAGGGCACACACGATTGCACCTAATGGTTGGTCCTTGGGAAAGGGGAACTTATTAGGGGAAGTTTATTCTAGATTATTTCTCATCGGGAGATGGTAGTAATTAGGAATAATTGAATGCTGATCTTTGATTTTATTGGGTGGTTAAGCCATGGGAGTGGAAATTCACTAGGAATAGAGATTACGGGAGTAATTCGATTCCACTTTGCATTCCCATACAAATCTTAATTCCAAACCAAATATTACAAACGTTAATTGGCACTAGGTGATTAAACATTGTGATCCCAAGAATCCTATTTTGCTCTATTGTCTACAAAACCTTGCTACTTATTTTATTCTGCTTGTTATTTTATGCAATCAATCAATCTTCAAGTTTTGTTCGGACTAGTTTCATATGAGTAACCTAGTAGCTAGTGATTAGTACACCACCTCTCTGTGGTTCGACAACCCGAATACTCCGGGTATTATTTGTTTGCCCCAAATTACAGTAATCAATTCTCAATTAATAATTATTTTTTGTAATATTCGTTTTTAAATATAATTTCACATATGAACATAGTATGAATAAACAAATAAAACAAATGCATATTCAAAGTAATGTAAAACCATGCAATCTTACAATTTAAACAAAATACACAAATTTAAAATTATAAATATAAAACATAACAAAAATATTGAAATGACCAAGGACAAATGCTTGTAAAATGGCAACCATCAATCATAGGAACATATAGCATTCATCAATATATTCTTCAGGATCTCTTCCTTTATCAAATAATAGCACATATAGCATGTGAACATGAGATACCTATGAGATCCCAAGACCTACATGAGCATGTTCTTCTCTCCAAGCTAACCTTGACCTGGTGCCTTCCTCTTTTTTTTTTTTTATCTCATATCCATCATCCCCATTGAAATCCACTTCCCAACCAACACTTTCTAGAATGTTATTGTTCAACTTTTTCATAATAAATGAAACATAATTACCACTCCATTCGACAACCTTTTTGTTGCAATCCTTTTCACAACAACAACTCTTATATCTTCAAGCATAGGAATTATTGGCTTTGATCTGGCTTTAATTAGAATACTGTTGAATGCCTCGCAAAGGTTGTTGTCAACTATATCACATTTTACGGTTGTTATAAAGTAAGCCTTGCACCACAACCTAAAAGAATATTTCTCTAAATCTTTTTTGGCATTGTTATCTCTCTTCTCCAATGTTTGCAACTGCTCTTGAAGTTGTGATTCTGATGTTGACTTAGCACATTTCCAAAAGAGTTTCTTCATTAGTTTTCCTCTATGACGTAAAAAATAAAATAAAAAAATTAAGGTATATACGGCGGTTATTTAAAAAACTATCATTTATTAAGTGACGTAGTATAACAAAATATATTAGACGGTGGTTATTTAAAAGATCTTCGTCTATTAAGTGACATAGTATATCATTTATGTAGTAGTGATTAGGGACGAAATTTGCAATTTTAGTATAACTCAGAGATGAAAAGTGCAACGCCAATGATAACTTAGGGATGAAAAGTGAGCATGACCAACACTCATGGACGAATTCTACAATTACTCTATAACTCAGGGACAAAAAGTGCAACGTCAATGATAACTTAAAGGATGAAAAGTGAGCATGACCAACACTCAGAGACAATATTTTTTTTATCTCATTTTGCAAAATATCTCATTGATTTTTAATATTCCGTCTGCACTGGCAAAGATTTCTGGATCCTTCCCTAGTTTTACCATGGACCAGGGTCCACCTTGCATTATGGACCTTGGTCCAAATTATGTGCCTACAGTTAACATAGGAAAATTTTATTGTGGACCATGGTCCATATAGCAAGAAGCAATACAATGTCGTTTGAAGTAATTTTAGGAAAAACAATTGTTACCATTAACTATGGCAAACGGCACGGTACGATCCATGTAGTATCATTTTCGTTGTGATCTTCTACTCGGCTTCTCTAATCCTTGTTTTTTTCATAGCCTATCCCATATTCGTTCTATCAAGTGTATTCTCACAGTTATATCGACCTTGGATCAATTAACATATAGAAGCAATCAGAGTTCTACAATTAATGCGTTTGATGTGAATTCACTAATTGTTATTGATTACAGTTCATCAATTCTAGGTTTTTTATTCCTTTGTTGTATTGTTTCAAAGATTTTACATGTTTGATATTGGTGATTGTATTATTCTACTTATTTTTTAGATTGAAGTTTTTGTTGTTGCAGTTGATGATAATCGTCTTGTTGCATTTTGAGTGAGTTTTCATATTGCAATTGATGTTACGGAAAATTATGCCCTGGACCCGTGTCCACATTGAATTGTGGACACGGGCCCAAAACGACGTCGTTTTAAAAAAAAAAAAACGCGTCATTTAGTTATAAAAAAAAAAAATCCGCGCGCGTTTTGCCGTTAACGGCGTTATTTTTTTTTTTATTATGAATGTACAGTTATGACGTTATGAATGTACAGTTATGCCGTTATGAATATACAGTTATGCAATTATGAAATTATGAACACAGAGCTCTAACATTATGAACTTACAATTATGAACATATATAGTGATAAAATTATGACCATGGAGCTTTAAAATTGTGAATATAGAGCTTCGAAGATTATGAATGTACAGTTATGGAGTTATGAATGTACAGTTATAGAGTTATGAATGTACAGTTATGGAGTTATGAATCTACAGTTATGAGATTATGAATCTACAGTATGGAATTATGAATGTACAGTTATTGATCGAATTATGAACAAAGAGCTCTAACATTATGAACTTACAATTATGAACATATAGTGATAAAATTATGAACATAGAGCTCTAAAATTGTGAACATAGAGCTTCGAAAATTATGAATGTACAATTATGGAGTTATGAATGTACAGTTATGGAGTTATGAATGTACAGTTATGGAGTTATGAATGTACAGTTATAGAGTTATGAACATACAGTTATGGAGTTATGAATGTATAGTTATTAACATATAGTAATAAAATTATGAACATATACTCTTACAATGAAGCGGTCTGAAATTAAAAAAAAAAAAAAAAAAAAAAAAAAAAAAAAAAAAAAAAAAAAAAAAAAAGGAGATAACAGTGCCTAACGGCACTGTTACCCGTGTCCAGCAAGCATGCTGGACACGGGTCCAATGCATAACGATTGTTGATGTTACTTCTCCAATTTTTATTGATGATAATTCTTCAATTTCAGGTTTTATGTTTAGTTTTGCTTTCAGTTAATTCAAATACTACATTTGTTACACAAACATGTTATTCAGATCAATTTCATTTTCAACACACAGTAGTTTTATTCTAGCAACACTGAAGTATCATTTAAACTACACTTCAATTTCATTTGATAAATTATGGTATTGTATGAGTTCTATTTTAAGTTTCATTTTAAACACACATTAGTTTCATTTTATCAACACTACAGTATCATTTTAGTTACACTTTAGGTTTATTCGACAATATACATTATTATCCTGACAATATATGAAAATTATACTCCCTCCGTCCCAAATTGATTGTCTCATTTGTTTTTTGCACGCTTTTTAAGGAATTAAAGTAAATGTTATGTATTTTCCAATTATGCCCTTCACTTTTTCACTTTTGGGAATAAAAGTAAAAGTCATAAGGGTAATTTGGGAAAAAGTAGAATGATGGTGATGTTCAATTTTGGAAAGAGGACAACATTTTGGGACAAATTAAAAAGGAAAGTAAGACATGCAAAATGGGACAGAGGGAGTATTATATATATACCCATCACGTCCTCTATCTTCTTAAAAACTAGAGTAATGAATGAGGAACCTAAGACTCAGTTATGAAAATTCTAAAAACTTTTGTAACTTCTAAAATTGATTATTGACTATTGCATATGAAAAACTTTTACATACTAAAAATCTCAAGTTATTCTGTTGGTGAATTCCTCATAAAAGCAACCTGAGGAATTTGACATCATTTTGTATCTCAAAAGTTTTATTTTGATTGCCTTTGTTGCTTAGTAAAGAAAATTGAAAATTGATAGGATGGTGTGTTTCACATGTCTGAAGATGATGATCAAATGTTTCTTTGTTTGTGTTAAGTCGAGCCAGGTTCCTAACAAGTCATACTAAAGTTATTGAAATGCTTTTATAATTGAACAATCTTAAAATAAGATGTTAAGAAGTGAAAAATAATGTCGTGAAAGTGGTTTTGATATAAAAATGAGAATAAAATGTGAATTTCTTACTTTACCCTTCAAATTTTAAATATTTTTAAATTTTTTCGTCAGTTTTAACGGTCGGTGACCAAATGTGTCACTTCGTTTATAACTGAGGGACTAAAAATGGATACGGTCATAACTCAAGGACTGAGTCGGAACTTGGGTATAACTCAGGGACCAAAGATGCAATTTTCCCTATTATTATTATTAATTAATTAATTAATTAATTATAATTGTAGAGGGTAAAAGTGTCCTACTAATTTTTCAATGAAAACAAAATATCAAAAGGAAGAAGTGAAAAACGACCAAACGGGAGAACTATAAATTTTCTGACGAATCAAACAGTAACCAGTTTCATTATTCTTTTCTCCAAAAACGTCGTTCTCCAATTGCCGGCTACCTTCTTGTAATCTTCACCATATCAGAGCTCTATAAGTGATTCAGTGAATCAATCATATCCAATTCGTTCAAAAATCTTTGGAGCTGAAGAAAGAAGATGAGTGGAAAGGGGAAGGTTGTGTGCGTTACTGGTGCCTCCGGCTACATTGCTTCTTGGCTTGTTAAGCTTTTACTTCAACATGGTTACACTGTCAACGCCACTGTTCGCAACCTCAGTCAGTCTTCTCTCTCTCTCTGTCTCTCTCACTCTCTATGTTTCTATGTATTGCAGTATTTACCTTTCCTTCTTGAAGTTTTAGCTTCCCGCATCTGATTTAGGAATTTCCATGTAAATTTTGCTTCATTTGCTTTACCAAATTGATGTATTACGGACTTAGAGACCCAGTTTGGTTTGTGAAAAATATTTGAAGGGAAATAGTGTTTGTGTTTAGGGTATCTTGCTAAACATAAAAGAGAGTAGGAAGCAATGAAATAGTGCTATTTCTAGCTCAATTAAGGGTTGTTTAATGTGTGCTTCATTATGGTCATGTTTCACTTCAACTTGGTAACTCTTACACTTCTCAATCTGTGTCTGTATTATATTTGGCAGATAATCCGAATAAGGTGGCACACCTCCTTGCACTTGACGGAGCCAAAGAAAGGCTAAATCTGTTTGAAGCTAACTTACTTGAAGAGCAATCTTTTGACCCCGCAATTGATGGTTGTGAATGCGTTTTCCACACAGCATCGCCTGTATCCCTTACTGCTACTAAGGTCAATTAATGAACTTTTCCTGCTTTGATCTGCTTCCACGTTATGAATTTCTACTGTGCTTGAGGCCTTTTATAAAAGCAGTTCGAGTAGTGTGATTTTGAACTTAAATATATGGCTGATACTCATGGGGAATCACGGAAATGATAAGGGTAACTGAGCCAGTTTATTTGTGTTTCTTATTCTCCTATTTTGTTTATGCCAAGAGTTTCTTCCATGTTTCAGGAAGAACTAGTTGATCCTGCAGTGAAAGGAACACTTAATGTTCTTAGATCATGTGCAAAAGCATCTTCTGTCAAACGGGTTGTGATAACATCTTCTATGGCTTCAATTATGGTCACTGGACAACCTGTAAGCCCAGATGTTATAATGGATGAAACTTGGTTTTCAGACCCTAAACTTTGTGAGGAGACTAAGGTGAGTACACACTAAGTGTAGGACCTGAAGTTTGCTGTTTTGTTAATCATGGTCAAAATATCATTTTACAGAGATTTTGTTTCCTTAATCCCTTTCTCAAGAGTGGCACATTCAAAGTGATTTTAATTGAATCTGTTCCCTACGTTTTTCTTGGGAAAAGTTTTCTCTTCTAACTAGAGTTGTTCGCATTCTAAGCAATGGTATGCACTTTCCAAGACCTTGGCAGAGGAAGCTGCACAGAGATTCACAAAAGAGAATGGGATTGAACTGGTAACACTGCATCCAGGATTAGTCTTTGGTCCTATCTTGCATCCAACTCTTTGTTTGTCTTCAGAGGCAATTTTTAACGTTATAAAAGAAGGTATGTAAGGGCCTGGTTACTTCAGAAAACTGTTCTCTGTTTTCTAATTTTGATAATGTGAATAATGTCTAACTTTAAGCCTAAGCAAATAAGTTACGTTTATATAAGTAAATGCGAGTAGAAATGATAGAAGATGGTGATAAGTAAAAGAATATGATAATGAATGTAATCATAATAATAATAAATGTGTAAGTAAATAATGGTAAGAATGTGGTTAGAGTGATATATAATCAAATAAATAATACAGTAGATGATTATGTTTTCCCATTTAAGAAACATTTTTAAAAAGTTCTCAAGTTTCCTAAAAAACTAAAAAATGTTTTCAGTTTTCGAAATTGAAAACTATGTTAGTAAACATATTTTCTGTTTTCTATTCTCCAATTCTCCAGTTAGTAAATGGGCTCTAAGTGTTTCTCCAAGTAACATGGGTTATGTTCAAGTGTCTTGTTTTCAAGCATTCTATCTTAACAATAGCATTGACTATAATCTGTTATAGGAAAGGAGGCATTCCCAAACGGAATATATAGGTTGGTTGATGTTAGAGATGTCGCACTTGCACATATCAAAGCATTTGAGAATCCTTTGGCTAGCGGGAGATACTGTTTGGTTGAGGTAGTGGCGTACTCTCATGTGGCTCTCAACATTGTACACAAGCTTTTCCCTTCTCTTCCGATTCCTGACAAGTAAGTTGCATTATAGATTAGAATGCGTCGAGTGTGTGTAGTAATCAAGCGTCGTGAAAGTTGTTTTCTTCTAACTTGAAGATGATGTTGTTTGGAATTCAGAGGAAAACAGGAGTTGCCATTCGTCGCACCCTATCAAGTCTCCAGGGAAAGGGCGGAAGCCTTGGGCATTAGTTTCACGCCCCTCGAAATCACCCTCAAAGACACTGTGGAAAGTTTTAGGGAGCATAACCTCCTCAGCTTCTAAATATTAGCATTCAAGTGAGTAGTTAGTTAATGTGCAATGAACCAACAAATATGCTACTGTTTTGGCACATGTTCAGATAAATTCTGCATTTATACTATGAAATAAAAACCTTGGGAGATAAGTTCTGATCAGTAAAGATCTTTTACTGGGAGAATAATCCTTCTCTATCTAAACTAGCTAAATGGGAAAATGGAATATTGTATTGTATACACACTGTGCAGCAGATCAGTACAAGTGATAATGAATAAGAGAAACAAAACTCCAACTCCATGGTATCAGTTGCATGCCTCCCTCCAGCAAGCACTTTGATGCCTTTCTCTTGCAAAATGTAGCAATAGAGATCACCCCTGGGTACATAAACGCAACTGTTTGAATTTTGAACACCCTCTCGACTAATACATTCCGAAATACCTTCCAACTTCATGTATTTTGACAAGAGGGCTCTCTGATGGTCCACATGATATGGCCTGTTCACGAGATTTGATCCATCCTGTGTAAAATAAAGCTTGTACCCACAGTAAAACCAGTGCAGAAGTAAAACCAGAAACCCATATCTAACTTCCATAGCCATAAGTGGCAGATTAACCCATCCAAAGCTTTAAAACTCTGTCTTTGCCACCAGAGGCAACTTTCTCACCATCTGGACTCCAGTCGACAGCAAAGACCTTCAAAAAGTTCAAAGTCAAAATAAATTCATATACTACTATAGAGTGAAAAGTACTCCAGGTTTCGCTGTGTCTGTGTGCCATTTTCACCCCGGGAAGGGAGTAGAGCTTACCTCATCTGCATGGCCAGGAAGGTCTTGTTTCAACTTTTTTGTCCGAATATCCCAAACCTATATAATGAAAATAAAGAGGTAATTCACTGAAAAATGAAGCTACATTTTTATAGTATGCAACCTGCAAGCAAGAGGCAAGTGATGATTTCAAATGCACTAATTAGTGTTGGATCTCAGCGTTGTACTACGCGCTTAACCATAGAGTTCTCTGGCTATCTGATTGTCATATCCTACTTAAAACCAATTGGTGATAAATAGGTGGACATTAACTATTTAACCACATCTCAGGTGGACATTAACCATTTAACCACATCTCTCCATAGTAAGCCACAATATCACGTCTTGAATCGAGCAAGGACTGAACTCGACTGGCGCCCAACAATTAGGTTAAGAGTTGGATTTTGATGATAGCTTAATGTACAAAGATCTTTAGATTGTACCTTAGGTGCTTGAGATATCTCAAGATTTATTATGTCTTCCACATTAATACAAATCTTCAAGCAATTATTAGTGTTTTCAGATCAATCTCGCTAAATGTTACCCCACTTGACAATTATAGTAATTCCACTCTATGTTCCACTTGTGGAGAACAATTACCAGAAGAAAATACATATTTTTTTTTACCTTCAAGGTTGAGTCTTTGCTCCCACTCAAAAGCAGCCTACTATCAGCTGACCAGCTGTCAAACAAAATAATCATAGTAACTACATCTACATCACCTAAGCGAATCGAACATTAGAATAGATACTCAGAATCTCACCTGATCTGATAGACAGGTCCAACATGACCGCGGAAAGCGGCAATGAACTTTCCACTAATACCATTCCATAGCTTGACTGACTTGTCAAATGATGCACTTGCTATCCATTGTCCATCAGGAGAGAAGTAAACATGATTAACAAGCTGCACCAAGAAATTACAATAATTAATGCTGCAAAGATCCAGAACTACTACTAATAATAATAATAATAATAAATTTATTAGTGTTTTAGATTATTATTATTCTTTCCAAACATATTCTGAGAGTAACTGATGTTGCAGGATCATAATTGAGATTTGCTGTACTTCAACCGTAATAATTGTTAAGGAGTCTCACATTGATAAAATAAGAGAGAAAATATGGGTTTATAAGGCTATGGGTTAGACTAGTTAATTGGTTGGATTCAATCTTTTAGTGTGATTTGACCCATTAGCATTATAGCCCAATTGAGTGACCCTAGCACAATCTTAGTTTATAACAATAATAAATAGCATGTTACTAGAAAATACTATACCTGTTGATGACCAGTCATACGAGTTTTGGGGTGTTTACTGACAGCAGGTTCCCACAGGAACATTGTGAAATCATCTGATCCAGAAACCAATCTCTCAGGAGCATTACCTCTCATTTTATTGTACCTTTCTAATGCTACCTGAAGAGAGTATGAACAAAAAAACATGAGAAATTCACAGTGAAAGGGAATACTTTAAATAAATAAATAAAGCTGTGAGATCAAGAGTTACCTTCTTCATTTCCTCAGGAGAAGAAAAGTTTTTACTAGTGTGATCAAAAGCACCAGTGCGAAGTACATATTCAGTGCTTAATGCCAAGGAGTTAACCCAATGTCCATGACCCTGCATTTGCAGTGAGAAATAGGATTATGAAAGTGATCAACTCTAAATAATAAAACAGTTAAAGGTGCTTCTGACAGTCAATTCTTAATTACTGTAAAGGTAGTAATAGCAGCAACTAAGATTACAAATCTCTGAACAATTTCCACTCTCTTAACCAACAAATTAAGTTGTTGTTCTGTTTTTATTACCCTATTTTGGGCATAGAATACATAGGCACTTGCATATGGTAATCCATGGTTGAGATACGGAATTGTATTTTGGCTCATTATATGGCTTTTGTCAGCCTAAAAAGGAGAAGCTACAAATAGTAACAGGAAGTACATATAGCATGTAGCCAGACGAAAAGAACAGATATTTAATGCTAACCAAAATAAAAAAGGAATTACCTTCAACTCACGAATAAGCTTCCCCTGTGAAGTTTCCCATACCTTGATTGTACAGTCCTGAGATCTGTAAATGCAAATAATAATAATAATAAATAAATATGAAAAAAACTTAAACTGTATTAGAGAAAGCGTGTACCAGTGTTTCTATTTCCATTTGTCAATTGTCACTGTATATAAATTAGTAGAATCCTTGAAGCATTCAAAGGAAAAGAAGAAACACAACGCCTTATACCAAGTGAGCAAACCATAATATGATAGCTTTATGTTTGTAAAGATCAATAACAAAATGCACCCAGAGAAATTTGTGCTTTTGCAAAAAAGCCTGATATAAGTTTAACCTTCAAAAGAATATTAGCTGTCTATCGGTGGAAGTGTAAATCCTTCAACAGCAAAAAGGCAAAATAAATAAATAAATAATGAAACACATCAATAAAATGGTAGGTGAAGTAGATTACATACCCTGTATAAATCACTCCATCTCCACCCCATTTCACGCAAGTGATAGCAAGTGTATGACCACTAAGACAAATAACACATTTCCTTAATGTAGCGTCCCATATTCGTGCATCACCATCTTTACTGGCAGTTACAAAGCGGCGACATGGAGCACTGAGGTGTACAGGTTCCCAGGAAATACCAGTTATCCATTTCTTGTGGCCCTGAAACATAATCAAGTATAAACCATTTAAGTTGAAGGGATATAAGCAATTCAGATATGAGTATATGACCTTTAATCTGACCCACTGCAACAAAATGAGGAAAAGCAAAATGAAAAGTTTGAATGAGTATTTTATTTATTCATTTATAAACACACACGCATATGTAGGGAGGGGGAAACATAGCATGCACAAGCAGAGATGAATGTCAACACTCTCATAACTGTAGGAAGGTTGGGGAATTGGAAAGAAGTTAGAAACAAAACTGAAGTTCACTGTCCCCATAACTGTTTATCCTTCTGGTAGTACCAGATTTAAAATCCATTTGCAATTGTGTCAAGAAAGATTCATGCCCAAGGAAGTTCAGATATGTAGTCATTGTGCCACAAGTTTCTATTAAGACATACCAAAGAGGAGGTGCACACCCTGTTGCTGGTCAAGATGTTGCTTAAAAAGTCACAATTCCTAGAGGTGGCTAGCAAGTCATAAGCTAAGCATCAAAGTGTTGCTTTGGAAGTGGAAATTCCTAGAGGTGGTTAGCAAGTCATAAGCTAAGCATCAAAGTGTTGCTTTGGAAGTGGAAATTCCTAGAGGTGGTTAACAAGCCATAAGAAAGTCAAGTGGCTAATGAGATAATGTTAAGGGAAAAGGGAGAGCAAATCTTAGTCTGGTCATGATTGGTTGGATCAAGCACTATGCCTTGTGGAAAATTAAGGCATCAATTTATTATAGCCTTTATAGGTTTATCACCACTAGAAATCATTTCATGATAATATTATATCAACTTGAAAAGAAATAGGATGTGCAACAGTGAGAGAGTAACGGAACCAGTGATCTCAACAGTTAAACAGAGGCAATCAAATGGAGACTTACAGTAAGAGGATTGCCCAAAGGCTTCCCAGTCTGTGGATCCCAGCAGATAATCTCCCCAGTTTTACTTCCACTCACAAGGTACTTACCATCAGGTGACCATGCGATACAAAGAACCCAGTTTTTATGACCTAGTAGCAGAGAGAATATGTTGCCACTTTAGTTTATGAAATATACCTCAAAATGACCAAATTGCAATCTCAAGGGTGGTTAACATGCATAATATAGATGTCTATTTACCCCAGAGCACAATTTAGATGAAACCTAAGTAGCCCCTACTGCATGCCCAGGTTGAAATGTGCAATGCGTAAGTGCAACGAGTATGGAGCAAGATTTTGTGTCTAACCTTTACAAGTGAACAACGGTGTCTGGGTATTCAAATCCCATAGTCGAACCATGGTATCACCTGAGCCACTTGCCAACTGCTGTCCGTCAGGGCTGAAGGCCACTGAAAGTACAGCTTCAGTATGACCTGCAATTAACATCACAATACAAGGAATTATTTCATATAAATGCAAAACACAAAGATATATTTACTAACTTGCAATGCCGAGTAAAATATTGACATAAATAAAATAGGAAATAACTATGGTCCAAAGAAATCTTAACACAAAATTCACAAAGTTAAAACTGCAAATAATTTATTTAAATTCTTGATAGAAACATAGTCTACGTGAAGAATCAAAGGAAAAAGAAAAAAAAAAATGTTCATACAAGTATAGTTTTCTGACTATCAATAATGTTCAGTAATGACCAAAAACAGAAAATTAAATACCAGCAATTGTTGCAGAACATCGGGTTACAGGACGGATCCGGAAAACTGCTTGAGGTTGATATACTATAGTCAAGACTTTCTCCACAGAAACTGCAAATATATTCATTCAAAGAAAGTTTCAATTTAGATTATAATGCTAGTTACGTTTCTTCAAACAAGGATTAAGTTTGAAAAGTTCACTCTGGGATCCAATTACCTTTGTTCTTTTCTAAATATGACCCAAGATGCACCACGAGCTCTTGGTCTGAGATATAAAATGCATAAGGCAATTTTTCATCCTGAGTATAAGAAACGTCAGAAGGTGCAACTTACAAAACCATATAATGTAAAAGCAAGTCATCATCCTAGGCTTCAAAAACATATCCTACAAACTCCAAAAATCACACAGCCAGAAAACTCCTATGTTTAAACATTGGTTTTGTGAGTTTATCATCTCCTGCTTGCAACTAAAATCTAAATAATTGAACCACACTGGTGTGCCCATGTTCTGGTCATTATTGCATTCAATTGGGTATATTATTGACATACCAACATTTAAGCTTATCCCAAAATAAATAACATTATATATCATCTTCTCTTAGTTGAACTTACCCTTGACTACATGCAAGTAATTTCCATTTTCCACGAACAAAAATCAGCAAGTTTAGAATTTTGCTAAAAAAACAAACCTGGTTAGTTAATATTATTCCAACTTACGTTGCTAAGAAGCTTGTTGACCATTTGATTGAGCTCTTTGGGACCGGCGATTTCGGGAAGGTACATCGGAGTTCCGAGTGGAGTGCCCTCCGGGTCTGTCAACCGACACATGACACTGTTCGTGGAATCCCTGGGCAGCGGAACGGGAGCTTCCACGTCCATTGCTTCGGACATTTTTTGCGGCAAAATCAAGCTTCAGGAGTTACCAAGATGTCTCAAAGAGGCAGTCAGTGAGTTGAAGGCAAAGAGTGGCGCTAACTGGTGCGTAGAGCAACAGAAAAATGAAGTTTTTAGGGTTTGGCAGGGTTTAATCTTTTAGAACGGTCAATTTTCATTTGTATTTTAGATGAATTGTAGTTTTCATCCCCACTTATACAAAAATAGTCAACTTGCCTCCCAATATTTCTTTTACAATTTTCGTCCCCCCACTTTGAAGAATGTATAAAAGTTAACCCGATGCCCTTTGTCTTTGGTGGTAATTTCAATTTTAGTTTCAGATTATCATTTTTGTTATTTAACATCCCAGATTATTATTTTTTGGACACTTTTAGTCATTCTCATGACTTTTCTTATTTTTAGTAAAGACATTTTTGTCTTTTCATTTTTTTTTTTTTTGTTATTTTTCGGGTTTCAACCGGTTTAATCGGTTTAGAACTTCAAGTAACCTCTGATTTTTAGTAACCATATTTTTCAACCGATTTTTTGTAAAATTCTAAACCAATTAAACCGATTGAAATTAAAAAAATAACAAATGAAAAATATGAAGAGACAAAAATGCCCTTACTAAAAATTGAAAAAATCTTGAGAAGAACTAAAAGTGCCCAAAAAATAATAGCCTGGGATGTTAAATGGCAAAAACGATAGTCTGGGATTAGATTTGAAATTGTCACCAAAGACAATGGACCTTTGGTAGAATTAACCCAATGTATAATGTATATATTGTTGTGAACAACAACAACAACAACAACAACAACAATAATAATAATAATAATAATAATAATAATAATAATAATAATAATAATGACCCCGCTTTTAACTATTGTATATTTAGGAAAATGTCGTAGGTTTTATATAGGCTACGATTTATATAGGCTGGAATATACTGAAGGGTAATTTTTGTGACGTGTGCAGTACTCTTCCTTAAAAGCGTATTGCCGGAGACTGTGCGGTCTTTAATCCGGGCGCTTTCGACTGGCTAGCTAACACAGAATAGTTCACGCACTCTGTTGCACTTAGAGAGATACGTATTTACAGAGCTTAACACTTATTTTCTGAAGTGTAAAATAACAGGTCTGGGAAGGCAGGTATTTATAGTAATGAGAATACCTGACTTCCATGTACCAGCCACAAAAAATTCCGAGAAAATAGAGTGAAAGAACGCAACTTGCGTTCAGGTTTGCCCACTAACGCACTGGCTTCTCTTTTGGCCACAGATTTAATTCTGAGTGCGTAAAAAAATTCTGTATGTGTAGAGTAGCAAAAATCGCAGACAAAAAATACAAATACCGCGTAAAAAATTTCAACCACACTGCGCGCGCAAGCGGCAGCAAGCACGCAAGAATCCCCCCTTTCCCTCTCTTGAAAACATTTCAAAGACTCCAAAAGGAGTGGCATTTAAATGATGGGAAAGGTGTCTCTAGGAAACCAATGTGGGACAAGTAGTAAGACAAAAGAACCACATCCATCCTTTGAATGTTATCTCCAACATTTTATCCATATGATATTTAAAGATAGCATGCACCAATATGAACATAATTATATATATTTTTCATGATTTGAAAACCATTTCAAAATAACTTTCATTTATAAGATATGTGATAAATTTAACATTTATGGCCTATAACAAATAATTATTATAATAAATTTTCTTTTGTGATGATGATTCACATAGCCATAAAACATAAGAGAGCAAATTGTGACACAAAAATAATCGTCACATGACAATTAGAACACTCATCATACTATGTACAGAATAATGATTTCTAAAAATCTTATCACAATATTTTATTTTCAATCATACTCTCAAAATGTAAGCATAAATTGGATACAAAGGTATAATGCATTTTCTCATCTAAACTAAATTATGCAATAATGAGAAATTTTTTAAGGAAAATATGATCAATGCCCAAAATAATCATTTGCACATAGTAATCTGTTATCACATAAATAAATAAATACACACACACCCATGTTATTAGGAATCACAATAGGTAGATATTTGATTATTTCTCATTTCCAAATTTGAATCAGAATACATATAGAATTATCCGAACATGAATAAATATTATATGTACCCATTCCTAACATGTTTGACATTACCCATATAGTACTCAAAATCACATTGAAACATATATATATATTTTTTTTTTGGTGTACCAAGGGTTTCCACCGTCGTATACATTGACTAATCTCATCGCTGAATTGTAGGCACATCTTTTATGTGGTACAACTGACCTGGAGATGGCTGCTCCATACCAAAACTCAAGGATTGAAACATATTTAATGCACATGCATGCTTGTACAAACACAATTGAGTATAGGACACGGGAATTTCACTATTATCGAACTCGTCGTTTAAATTCGTCTATCAACTATCCAATTAACACATCTTATTATGGTTCAAGAGGTTAAATAGTCAATATTACTTTATCTATTGTTATCCATGAATATTATTTTACCCAGGAGGGCTGGCCCTTTTTTTTTTTTAATAAAAAAAAATTTAGAGTAAATAATAGAATACAAAATCTAAGGGAGGCTAGAGAGCTTATGGGGTAACAATTGTTTTTTTAAGAATTAGAAAGATTTACGCCGTCATTAGTAGAGAATTAATGATTTGAGTATGTTGCGAATGACAATATCTATATATTGTACAAGTGATGCAATGTCATAAATTTAGGCAACTATTTTATCAAGTATATAAGGTTTTATACACATGTGATGATGATTTTATTTGATTAAACTTATCATATAACTAGGTTATTAAAGGTAAAATAATTGACAACAAACACAAATGGATTTTTTTCACTTTTAGTCTTATGAATTTAGAGTGTTCGTCAACTTGAGTTCACAACTTTCATTCTCGACATAAGCAGTGCTCTATTTTAATTTTTTTTTCCAAATTGTCCTTCCAACCACATCCGACTGAAACTCACTATAATCCATTAAATACTTGGCCTGTAAGAGTAAAAATGTCATTTGACTAAGCTCTAAAGATATGTATAAATAAAACAAAAGGATAAAAGGGAAGAAAAAACTAATTTGTTGTTCTCATTCTCCTTTCTTCGCGAGTGAAAAACCCTAACTCCATGGCATGGGAAATCAATGAAGTACATTAATTAGGTTAAAACTTTTTGTAATTTGTGTTTGTAACTTTCTTGATTAATGAAGTCATTTTTATTATATTAAAAAAAAAAACATATTCATCCCTTGTACTCAAGCACATATCAACGAATTAACTCTAACCTTGACATCTTAAACCTTTGCACATTACAAGACAACCTACTAAGTAAACCAACCCCCCAAGCTAAAACTATCACACTATTTTACAATTGATCATAAAACATAAAAATGAGAGTAGATAACAACGACCTTACTTGAAAACTAATAAAGTAACTAAAATTATTTTCTTCATAAAGTTAATATGAGGTTACCAACAAAATAAAAGTATTGTATATTTGTGAGTGTTTAATTGTTTAATTGTTTAATTGCTACTGTGACTAAGTGAAGGGTTTATTTGACCTTTTTATTTTTAATACTACTGACTCTATTACATTGTAGTATTTATTTACATATACTAAGGGCATCCCCAATTGGGGGATTTTGCACAGATTTTGAGAAATCTTTGGTGAGGTGGAGGAGATAAGTAGGAGAGAGAAAGGGGTAGAGATGCTCTTGCAAGGAGGAGATTTTATCAGAAATGCTGAGCCCCACACTTTTTCTTGTAACCCGCGCGTTGCTCGCGTGCACTGCCATAATGTCGCCCAGCGGGCGCGTGCACACGTGCCCCCTGGACGCGTTAATGGCAGCGCTTAATTAAAAATTTTAGCAGGTTACTTAATAATAATTTTTTTTAAAAAAATAGAAAATAAATAAATAAATAAGTAAATAATTAAACCACTGGGTGGCTGACATTTTATTTTCTTAATTTTTTTAAAAAATTCTTTAAAAATTATTAAAAATGTCAACCTCAGCTGCCACATAAGCAGGTAACCTGCTAAAATTGATGGTAATCTGCTATCAGGTGAAATTGCATACATTTGGAGTGTTCAGTGGCCTAATTACACTTTTTTTTTTTTTCGTTCAGTGGCCTAATTGCATTTTCAGGTTATGTTCAGGAGCCAATTTGAATCTTATTCCAAAATAATAATACGTATAACTCTTTACTGAAAACCGTAAAGCAAACTTCTTGATACTTGATGTGCTTATGCCTCTTATTCTTTGAGGAAACTTTGTTTGCGATGCTTGTGGAGATCACAGAAAGGGCTATGGCACACTGTGATAAGAAAGATGTATTGATTGTTGGCGGTGTGGGATGCAATGAGCGATTGCAAGAGATGATGAAAACTATGTGTTCTGAAAGGGGTGGCAAATTATATGCAACTGATGACAGGTACTGCATTGACAATGGAGCTTTTGGTCACGGAGCATCGACTCCAATGGAGGGGAGGAATAATCTATATTTACGCAGAGATTTAGAACTGATGAAGTGCTAGCAATCTGGAGGGAGAAGGAATCGTTTAATGCCTCCAGTGGTACTGTGGGAAGCATATAACTGGCCACTTGAATGTTTCTGGTTCCCACAATGTTTGTTATTTGCATCATATGACAAAGGTTACTTAAATTCTTTTAATTAAAATGTTATAGGTTATGCCTTATAGTGGGGTTTGTATTTATTGATGTATTTAATTGGTTAATTTTCCAATGCCTTTTATTTTAAACAGCTTATTGTTGTAATGCTGTGTGTTGAGAATGTGAAAAAAGGAATTCAGAGATGGAAGCCACTCCATATCAGAGCCAGGTTTCGATCCTGGGACCTGTGGGTTATGGGCCCACCACGCTTCCGCTGCGCCACTCTGATTGTTGAATATTTGTATGATTTTTATTTAGTTATCCTGTAAAACCCAAAAAGGTTGTAGCAATGGAGAATCTTTTGCTGATAATTCCCGTTAATGTTCACTGAAGTCAGTCAGATTGCACAACCAGTCAGACTCCATAATGTTCACTGGTCTATATTTAACCAATTTCCTCACATCAATAATACCATTAGATGATGTTAAAGTGGGTAAACTTGAGACTATGTTTTTGTGTTACTGTATTTACTATTTAGTGTTGGGTGCAAATGTTAACCTTTTCCATTTTGTGAGGTAATTTTATGATAGTTTGAGTACCTCTATATTAAGGTTCAAAGATGGATTCCAAGTTAAAAGTTTAAAAGTTAAAAGAGAATTGTAAAAATGAATTTTAGTCCTAACATTTGATGGAAATAATTTAAACATATTCGTATGAATTAATTTCATACAATGAACAATTGAACATAAACATGAAAGCGGGTGCATGCCGTGTGTTGTTTCCTTCTCATCTCTGGTGTCAGGCTTCTTCTTCCTTGTGTCGGTTGTTTTCTTGTGCTCATGGCGTCCATGTCACGTTCGATAGAAGAAAGGTGTGCGTCTCTGACGTTGGAATGAAGAGGAGGAGTATATATGGCCGGGTGGTGTCGTTGGAGGATATATGGAGAGATCCGTCGCCAGACTTAGGGACGTAAATCTGGCTAAATTCTAACGAGGAGGGTTTTTGTGACGAATGAAATCCTTCGCTAATACTGTAGCGACGGATTTTTACTATTTAGCGACAAAATTCGTCCTCGCTAATATTGTAGCGACGGATTTTCACTATTTAGCGACGGAATTCGTCCGTTGCTATTTTCGCGTTTTTTTGTAGTGGGCGGAAGATATGGTGAGAGAGTTTTGCCCATCTCCATTCAACCAAACTGCTGCGGCGCCGATCGAGAAAGAGAGAGAGAGGCCGCCGGATCCGACGGAGGAAGAGCACCATCGCTTACCCCTACTATATTTTATGCCAGAGTGTGTGTAAACTACAATGATGGTACTTTTTTTTTTTTTTTTTTTTAAGAGACAATGATGGTATTTCTAAATCTGGAGAAAACAACACTAACAACACAAGCCATGCATATCTGTGCTACACGTTTAAACATATGGAATTAGCAACCAAAATGAGTTCATTGCTTAATGCAAAAGCTAAGGCTTTGAGTGTTGACATCTCATTATCCATCCAGCTAAGGCCTTTAACGTTAGTTTTTTTCTTTTTTAGACATTTAACGTTGGCTTAAAACCTACGTCGTTATACCAGACGTAGTACATAAATGACTACGTCGGTTACAAAACCGATGTAGTAATAATTAAAAAAATAAAATAAAATAAAATCGTATAACTATTATTAACGAGCCGACGTTGTATAGTATATTTATTTCTTTTTATTATTATTTTGAATACATATAACGTCAATTGTCTCACCAAACGGACGTTAAATGTATTTTTTAAAAAATGGAAATTATTTTAAATTTTTAACGTCAGTTTTCTAAAAAACCGACGACGTTATTATACGTGTTTTTTGTAGTAGTGTACGTCGCTCATTTAATTTCGTCGTTATCAATCGGTACGGGTGTAGCTAATTTTTGTAAAATTTTAAACAACAATAGCAGCTGTTGTATAAACACAACAGTTGCTAAAGTACAATTTGGGTTTTTTCTAAACACAACCGTAGCCAAATTTTTAATATATATAAGCTAGTTCTCTTCTTCTCTGAGGGATGTGGTCTGGTCCATCCTTCATGCATGTGTACCTTGGTGGTGCCCATTTCTTCCTATGACAAAACTCTTGAAGCTGCGACTTGTATATGTTCATCTCCTTTGAAAATTCAGTAGTTGTCTGCTCCATGAAATGTGTAGTTACTTTTAATTTAATTATATACTTTTTTTTTAAAAAAAAAACTAGTATTTGCACCCGTGCGATGCACGGAATGAATTTGTTGTAATATATTAATAATATATGAATCAATATATAATTATTTAAATTAGAACATCAACTATTATATAGTACAATTAAAGATATGATTTGGATCGTTTATATATTTTGATGTTATCATTGCTTGAATTTGTGCAAATAATTGCTCAAATTAATAGTTATATTTAGATGTATGCATGCGGTGCTATAACTTTGAAAATTTTATTTATCATTGTTTAGTATTTTCATAAATTAGGCAAATGTGCTTGTTCTCTAACAACTCACTTATAGAAATGAATTGCTATCCTTATTCACTTGTATAGAAGATATATTTTTTTTTGTCAAGATATATAGCAATTTTTTCATTTAAAAAAAATTAATATCACCGATTATATTTACACATTATTGAAACCTCTTTGTAGACGACATTGGTAGTGGCAACACAATCTTGTTCATCTTCGTCTAGAGCTAACACTTTTAATCCATCAAGACGGGTTACTTGAGTGAAAATATATAATGGTAGAATATCACTTAATTAGTTATCCTTTTATATTTTCAGCTAGTAATATCATATTCATTTTTAGCCTTTTTTTTTTATATATATTTTCAGTCAATTAGTCAATTAGAATATCAAATGCAGTGATATTTTTACCTAATTTTCGTTCCATTTTTATTTGATGATGTAGATAATATTATTGAAATATTTCTATTCCATTTTTAATTTACCTTTACTATTGTTTAAAATATGCATTTACTATTGATAATGTAGAATATTATTATTGAAATATTTTTCTCTAATTTTTAATTTCCATTCCATTTTTAAATAAAATGCAATGATCTGACCATTTTTTTATTATTATTTTAGTCAATTATGGATCATTTTTTATTTGCAATCAATTATTAATATTCATTTCCTTTTATATTTTGAGTCAATTAGTAATATTAGATTCATTTTCAATCAATTATTCTTTTTTTTATTTTCAGTCAATTAGTCAATTATAATATAGATGCAGTGATGTTTTTACCTAATTTCCGTTCCATTTTAATTTGATGATGTAGAATATTATTAATGAAATATTTTCGTTCCATTTTTTATTTAGCTTTACTATTTTTTAAAATATGCGTTTACTATTTGATGATGTAAAAATATTATTATTGAAATATTTCCTTTCCATTTTAAATTTTCCTTTACTTCTCAAAAAAAAAAAAAAAAGAAGACTTTGGACTTCTCAATACTTGTCCACGGACTCCCTTTTGTCTTTTTTATTTTGTATATCGTTTTGTTTGGATTATTATTATTATTAGTAGTATTATTATTATTATTATTATTATTATTATTATTATTATTATTTTGATTATTGACAATTTCATCACAATTTTAACAATTTCGCTATTTTAACAATTTACCTTTAATCAAAACACCAAAATATTATTTAAAAACTCAGTAATTTGCTCCAAACTGCTAAAAACTAAAACAATACATACATGTTGGGTTAATCTTTCCCAAACTCCACTAATAATAAACAAATAATAAAAAACTAAAAAAAAAAAAAGAAAGACAAAGCTAAGGTTTCTTAAATAAGAACATTTTGACTTCTCAATACTTGCCACATTGATGGACAAACAATTATGTTTGTACCTCTTATATAGAAGAGCTAAAGAGCTCATCTTTTCAAACATTTTCAATGTGGGATCAAAATGATCCCACATCATTTACAAAGGGGCGTGGCTCCTCTTTGTTTTTGTTTTTTTTTTTTTTGTTTTTTTTTTTTTTTTTGTTAATTTTAATTTTATTTTGTATATAGTTTTGTTTGGATTATTATTATTAGTAGTATATTCATCCGTGCGATGCACAGAATGAATTTGTTGTAATATATTAAGAATACTTGGATCGATATATAATTATTTAAATTAGAACATCAAATATTATATAGTGCAATTGAATGTATGGTTTGGATCCTTTGTGTTTTTATGTTATCATTGCTTGAATTTGAGTAATTAATTGCTCAAATTAATAGCTATAGTGTAGATGTACGCATATGGTGTTGTAGCTTTGGAGATTTTATTTATCATTGTTCAGTATTTTTATAAATTAGGCAAATGTGCTCGTTCTTTAGCAACTCAGTTATAAGAATGAATTGATATCCTAATTTATTTGTATGAAAAATATATTTTTTGTCTAGATATATAGCAATTTTGCCATTAAAAAAAATATAATATCACCAATTGTATTTACACTATTGAAACATCTTTGTAGACAACATTGGTAATAGCAACACAATCTTGTCCATCTTCGTCTAGCGCTAACACCTTCAGTCCATCAGGATAGGTGACTCGGGTGAAAATATATAATGGTAGAATATGAGCCAATTAGTGATCCTTTTATATTTTCAGTCAATTAGTAATGTCAGATTCATTTTCAGCCAATTATTCTTTTTTTATTTTCAGTCAATTAGTCAATTCGACTATTAGATGCAGTGATATTTTTACCTAATTTTCGTTCCATTTTTAATGGATGATGTATAATTTATTGAAATATTTCCGTTATATTTTTAATTTACCTTTATATTGTTTAAACTTTAAAATATGCATTTCCTATTGATGATGTAGAATATTATTGAAATATTTCCGTCTAATTTTTTATTTTTGTTCTTTTTTTTTTAATTAAAATGCAATGATCTTGACAATTTCTTTTTCATTCTAGTCAATTAGTCAATTACTCAATTAGAAATATTATTGTTACCAATTAAGCTTTATTAATTTTTTACTATTTAATTAATATTCATATTAATTTGGGCGGGAATGTTGGAAAGGAGGATTTTACTTTTACTAGTAATTTCACCCGTGCGATGCACGGAAAGAAATTGTTGTAATATATTAAAAATATTTAAATCGATATATAATTATTTAAGTGTTAATTTCACCAGAGGTCGTTTATCTTTCCTGACAATTCCAAATTTAATCCTAGACTATAGTTATTAATTATTACAATTTATTCTATGTTACAACTCTTAAATTAATATTCTTACTATTATTATTAACACTTAATTACTTTTAGATATTATTATTACCACTTATATTATTATTATTATTATTATTATTATTATTAGTTTCTTTTCAAGTACTGTTAGTATATAATGGTCGTGAGGCACAATAATAATATAACCATAATTAAATATTCTTGTATTGTATTCCAGAGTTAATGCCATTTTTGGTCCTAGACTTATTGAGGTATTGACACTTTTCATCCTCCATAATAAAAATTGTCATTTAGTAGACACTGTTATTGGTCGTTGGACAGTTTTGATCCTCCGTCAATGAAGCTGTTAGTTGACCGTGAATTAGAAGGGCTTTTCTGTCTTTTTATGTCTTATTCTTCTAATCTTGTTTAGACCAGCGCTGCTGTGACTCCTGTGAGGCGAGATGGCGAGACTTGGCAGCTAAGTAGTAACCGTCGGTAGTGAGTAGCAGCGAGGTTCTTCTCCGGCGAGTTGTGGGTACGGCGGCGAGCATACGAGGCAGTAACTCCTTCCGGCGACGGACCAGTAAGGCAGATCTGGCTGTGCAGCAACAGATTCGGCGAGGTTGGGGCCTTCACCGGTGGTTTTTGGTTCCGGCGAAGCAGAGAGGGCAGCAGGTCGGCGAACCCTCCTTTGGTAAATAGCAGTTGTAGTTGTAGATGGCGTGATGTAGAATTTGCACCTGTAAGTCCTCCCTTCCATATTGACCACAAATATCCTTCCCATCTCTCTCTCTCTCTCTCTCTCTCTCTCTCTCTCTCTCTCTCTCTCTCTCTCTCTCTCTCTCTCTCTGACCACAACTACTTGGTGCACAACCTCAAAAACTCTGTTATTCTACCTGAAATTCATTGAAGTTTCAAGCTGAAAATGTGGAATCCGCCGCTCCCCAAAAATCGCATTGTCTGAGGTGTTGGAATGGCCGGTGTTGACTTCCTGGCTGCTGTAGCTTCATTCCCCAACCCGGATGATAGAATTTGGAGCACCAGCTTTGAGGTTCAAGGAGGTGGTAACACTGGCAATGCTTTGATAAAACCCGGATGATAAGATTCGTCTTGGTCTTAATCCAAGGATCATATCTAAGGTTGCTGATGACTCGCATGGCGAAAGAATACTTGATGAGCTTGAAAGGGATGGTGTTGATACATCTTTTATGGTGGTGTCCAAAGGAGGAAACTCACCATTCACATATGTCATTGTTGACAACCAAAAAAAAAAACTCGCACGTGCATTTTCACTCCAGGATATCCACCCATGATATCTGAGGGTCTACATACCCAAATCAAAATTGTCTTCAGCGTTTGGAGTAAATATTGTCTACTTAGATGGAAGACTGCATGAGACTGCTTTGATTGTAGTGCAGGAGGCAAAGAGTAGGGGCATACCTATTATAGTTGATGCAGAAAGGTTAAGGGAGTGGTTGGGTGATATTCCTGACTTTGCTAGTTATGTTGTATGCTCGACAAAATTTCCATAGGCATGGACTAACGCCCTTTCTATTCCAACTGCACTTGTTTCCATTATCTTGAGATTGATGTCAAATGTAAAATCCGTGACTGTTAGTTGGGTGAAGATGGTTTCTTAATGTTAGAAAGGACTGAAGCGGATAACCTCAGTTTGAAGAAATGGATGTAGCAGTGACCAATGGATGGAGAAATACAAGGATTAGAACTTAAAAAGACAGAAAAACCCTTCTAATTCACGGTCAACAACGACGTCATTGACGGAGGATCAAAACTGTCCAACGATCAATAACAGTGACTACTAAGTGGCAATTTTTATTATGGAGGATGAAAAGTGTCAATGCCCCAATGAGTATAGGACCAAAAATGGCATTAACTCTTGTATTCCGTGAGTAACAATAATAATATAACAATAATTAAATATTGTCCAATTCTATATTCTTCTAAGATTTCTATTACCATCATTAATTATTCCCAAATTTACCATAATTAAATAATTTGACCAATTATAAAGAAAGATTATTAAATAATGCACGGGACAATTGTTTAATTAAAATTTTTAAAAATTCATTAATAAAACATAAGGTTCTCATAGTTTTTTCTTAGAAACTCTTTAATAAAGTATTTTTTTTCAGAAATTGGTGGGCCAAACCGCCTACGGCTGTTTGCGGTGGATAGATCTCGAAAAAATACGCGATTTCAAAAAAACATTTGTACCAAACGGACAACAGACTCAAAAGTTATGCCGTGCCGAACTTTTTCCATTTTACAACTTAAAAAAAAAATAAAAAATTAAAGGCCGGTACAGCCGGCGAGGCGGCAGCTGAGGAGGCCGATTCCGGCCTTCGTCGCCGCGGCCAGCCACACGATTTTTGCAACACTGATATATAAAATAGATAAAGATTAGAATAGGAATAGTATTACACAATTTTATAATATTACAATAAAATTTTAACCCAGAATTATTGTTGAAATCAATATATTTTATTAGGAAGAGAGATTTTTTAGGAATTGGGCGGGAAGTTAAAATTTTAGAATTTTGTTTTTATATATAGTATAGATTGTATTACACTATTTTATAATATTATAATAGAACTTTAACGCAGAATTATTGTACGAATGGGAAAGTAGAAATCAATATATTTTATAGGAAGATAGATTTTATAGGAATTGGGCGGGAAGTTAAAATTTCAGGATTTTGTTTTTATATATACTATAGACTATAGACTATAGATATAGATTGTGTTACACTATTTTATAATTTTATAATATTAGAATAGAATTTTAACGCAGAATTATTGTACGAATGGGAAAAGTAGAAATCAATATATTTTATTAGGAAGAGAGATTTTTTAGGAATTGGGCGGGAAATTAAAATTTCAGGATTTTATTTTTATGTATAACCAGTATTTTCACCCGTGCGATGCACGGAATGGAATTGTTGTGATATATTAAGAATATTTAAATCGATATATAATTATTTAAGAGTTAATTTCACCAGAGGTCGTTTATCTTTCCTGACAATTTCAAATTTAATCCTAGACTATAGTTATTAATTATTACAATTTATTCTATGTTACAACTCTTACGTTAATATTCTTACTATTATTATTAACACTTAATTACTTTTAGATATTATTATTACCACTTATATTATTATTATTATTATTATTATTATTATTATTATTATTATTATTATTATTATTATTATTATTATTATTATTATTATTAGTATTATTATTATTATTATTATTATTATTATTATTATTATTATTATTATTATTATTATTATTATTATTATTATTATTAGTTTCTTTTCAAGTACTGTTAGTATATAATGGTCGTGAGGCACAATAATAATATAACCATAATTAAAAATTCTTGTATTGTATTCCGGAGTTAATGTCATTTTTGGTCCTAGACTTATTGAGGCATTGACACTTTTCATCCTCCATAATAAAAATTGCCACTTAGTAGACACTGTTATTGGTCAATGGACAGTTTTGATCCTCCGTCAATGAAGCCGTTTGTTGACCGTGAATTAGAAGGGCTTTTCTGTCTTTTTATGTCTTATTCTTCTAATCTTGTTTAGACCAGCGCTGCTGTGACTCCTGTGAGGCGAGATGGCGAGACTTGGCGGCTAAGTAGTAACCGTCGGTAATGAGTAGCAGCGAGGTTCTTCTCCGGCGAGTTATGGGTACGGTGGCGAGCATACGAGGCAGTAACTCCTTCCGGCGACGGACCAGTAAGGCAAATCTGGCGGTGCAGCAACAGATCCGGCGAGGTTGGGGCCTTCACCGGTGGTTTTTGGTTCCAGCGAAGCAGAGAGGGTTGTAGGTCGGCGAACCCTCCTATGGTAAATAGCAGTAGTAGTTGTAGATGACGTGATGTAGAATTTGCACCTGTAAGTCCTCCCTTCCATATTGACCACAAATATCCTTCCCATCTCTCTCTCTCTCTCTCTCTCTGACCACAACTATTTGGTGCACAACCTCAAAAACTCTGTTATTCTACCTGAAATTCATTGAAGTTTCAAGCTGAAAATGTGGAATCCGCCGCTCCCCAAAAATCGCATTGTCTGAGGTGTTGGAATGGCCGGTGTTGACTTCCTGGCTGCTGTAGCTTCATTCCCCAACCCGGATGATAAAATTCGGAGCACCAGCTTTGAGGTTTAAGGAGGTGGTAACACTGGTAACCCGGATGATAAAATTCATCTTAGTCTTAAATTCTTAATCCAAGGATCATATCTAAGGTTGCTGATGACTCGCATGGCGAAAGAATACTTGATGAGCTTGAAAGGGATGGTGTTGATACATCTTTTATGGTGGTGTCCAAAGGAGGAAACTCATCATTCACATATGTCATTGTTGACAACCAAAAAAAAAAAACTCACACATGCATTTTCACTCCAGGATATCCACCCATGATATCTGAGGGTCTACATACCCAAATATAAATTGTCTTCAGCGCTTGGAGTAAATATTGTCTACTTAGATGGAAGGTTGCATGAGACTGCTTTGATTGTAGTGCAGGAGGCAAAGAGTAGGGGCATACCTATTATAGTTGATGCAGAAAGGTTAATGGAGGGGTTGGGTGATATTCCTGACTTTGCTAGTTATGTTGTATGCTCGACAAAAATACGCGATTTCAAAAAAACATTTGTCCAAAACGGACAACGGAGTCAAAAGTTATGCCTTGCCGAACTTTTGACACTTTACAACTTAAAAAAAAAAATAAAAAATTAAGGCCGATTCAGACGGCGAGGCGGCCGCAGAGGAGGCCGATTCCGCCTTCCTCTCCGCGACCAGCGACACGATTTTTGCAACACTGATATATAAAATAGATATAGATTAGAATAGGAATAGTATTACGCAATTTTATAATAT